TTTTCTTTATTATTCTAATATTAGGAAATAATTCATGCTCAACAAATTTTTTAAATGTGACTGGCATGATACTGAAATTTTGGTTTCTAATCCAAACATGACACCTCTTTGCAATGTCTTTATCATTGACTATTCTAATTATTTTTTAGTATTTTTCATATTTAGATATTGAAAGCTTATCATTAAGTAACTAATACTTTGCAAGATACTGGATTCTTCACACTTTCCACATATTATCACCAATAAAAATCTTTTGGGCAATCTTCAAACTAATATTAATTCTTTCATGTTCATTATTATTATTTAACAAGATAAGATATTCAAAAATAGCTCTTTTATAATTATACTCGAAGATGATTAATTAAGTATGTTATTTTTCTAAATGCTCTTTTAACTCTTGTCCTCTTTTTATTCAACAAGTATACAGATCAATAACCTCACTTTTTGAATTGCTTGAAGTTTTATTAGACTCAGGTAATTGTAAGTCTATAACTTGAGCATCACTTGAAATTTCATTAGGCTTAGATAATTATAAATCTATAGCTTGAGCATCACTAATATTAAAGAAAGTGATAATTTTTTTAGTTCCAGCTGCTACTTTAGTGAATAAGTCATTTGACTTATGTTTATCATAATAGATTAACTTTGGTATCTTGCTTGTCATGTATGAGTCTCACTTCTTTTTTTCTAAATGATTATTATTTTTTCATACTAAACTGAGTTCTTTTAATTTTGTATTTATTCTAATTGTGATTTCTATATCCTTTGCATTATCACATTCACTATCATCATCATTATCCCACTCTCTATAACTAATATCTAGTCCATTAAATTCATTTACTTCAATATCATGATTAGCTATTAAAGTGGTGTGATATATTTTTTTATACAGTTCTGTCATATTTCTAGCTTGATCTTTAACTTTTCTTTTTTCTTTAGAATGAAGAGATATTTTTTTATTTTTACATAATGTAATCTTAATCTAGCATATAATTGGTGCTTGGATAGCATTATAGGATTTGAATTATATAATATTATATAACAAAATTATATCATGATAGTTCATTAGAGGATTTTTATATATTTTAAGTAAGAATTATTTGTCTTTGTCTCTAATTAATCCTTTGATCTAATATATATATATATCTCATCCTCTTAATAGTTCATTTATAGAATAGAGCACAGAAAGAAATGGCAAGATTTGAATATCTTGCCATTAAGTTATCAAAGATCAAAAGTAAGTAGATTTTATTTATTAAATATCCTAATTTTTTATTATTTATTATTATTATCATCATGATAGATAATAATAATAATAATAATCTCTTAATATTTTTTTTACTTAAAATAAATTTATTTATTATAATAATAATTATCTCTTAATAATTTTTTTTGCTTAAAATTTATTTAAATTAGATATGAATGAATTAATTCACAAATAAAAGGATCTAAAGCTAAGTATAAAAAGTCTTAATATTCTTATTATATTATACATAGAATATATTTCTCTTACTCAAATAATTCCATACTTTTTTTTCAGAATAATATACTGTGATGAGAAGGTTATTTGGTATGGAAAATCACATCTTCAGAATAGGTAGGCTTGGTTTTAGCCTAATAAATCTGTAAGAACAAAAAAATTAGAAGCTTCAACGAGAAGTTAAAACTCTTTTGTTCTCACATTTTTTCAGATTATATGAATGATATATTACATAATTATTAATTGTCAAATACACCACTATCATTAGAATTAAATAGATCTAAAATAATAAGAACTAATATTTTAGTAATGTATGGTATACAGGAAGGTGACTAAAACTTTTTTAAGCGTTATTATCAAAAATCCTCTCACTAAAAGTATTGAATTGCTTGTGCAAGAAAATATTGAGATGACAGTTAATGATTGGAAATTAGTAACTTCAATTATTAGATTAAGCATAGTTTTTTTGGATAATGAACCAGACAAACTTTAATTATTAAATTCAAGTATAGATATTATTGATAATAGGTGAAGCCAGATAAACTTTCAATTATTGGATTTGAGTGTAAATATTATGGATAATGGGTGAAGCTAGATGAACTTTAATTATTAAGATATTGCTAGATGATGAGTAAAGCCAGATGAACTTTAATTATTGGATCAAGCATAGGTATTATTGGATGATGAGTAAAGTCAGATGAATTGCCAAATAGTTACTTTTAATTCTAATAATGAGATATGCAAAATTTTGTGTTTCATTTTGGAGTCAGCTAAAGTTAGAATATTTGAATGATAATTAACTAATATAAACTGATTAAATTGTGAACAAGAATTAAAATAGGTGTCATGCATTAAAAAATTTTAAAAAAAAGAAATCCGAAAGAGAAAAGTGCAAGAAATAGATATCTAAAGATATCTTAAAAAATATCAAATGATATCTGAGAATTTATTGTTATTAGAAAAGCAATCACTTAAAGATTTGATTGAAAAGCCATTCTGAGAATGATGAGTTTATCACACTTTAATGATCTGTGATTATGTGATCATGTTATCATGTGATAATGTAACTTTAACAATTGCTGATTGGTCAAAACCCAATTGATCAGTATCTGAAAATTAAAGAATAATAATAAAAGTGGTTGATTTTATATCTTAATAACTTTATATAATATAATATAATTTAAAAAACTAAATCATAAATCTGAAAGAGAAGAACTTAATCTATCATATTTATGGTTTAGTTTTTTAATATTACCAAAATTGGAAGATTAGATACAATTTGAAATTATGTAAATTATATGAAAATTGTTTGATAATTATAGATGGCATGAACCATAGATACTATATTTTTTTTTATAAAAATATTGCTAATTATATACTTATTTATTAGATAAACTCTTTTTATTAATTCAAAACAAATCACTGACAAATCTTATTTAAGCAAAGAAATATGTAATAATTTGAATGAAATTAATTATACTTGCTAACTTTTTATAAATTATAAAAGATAATATTAAAGTTTAATATTTTAAATATTTAGCTTTATTCTTATATCTTTTATTCAAAGTGAATATTATCATGGATTTAAGTGCAATGAAAATGTATATACATTATATGTTGCATGTATCTGAAAGCATTTTTCAAATGGGATCCCGTTTGAACAACATGGCAATATCTGATAGAAAAAGTGTGGAATGTTACTTTCATTAACCAAATCAAGACTACATCCATACAAGAATCTTTCTAATTTACTTACTCGAAGTCTTCAATTATTTAAGATCAACAAATAAAAGTGTTTCCGCCAGTTCCAGTATGATGAACACCTTGCCTATACTGGAGAAAATAACCAAGTCTTTTATTTTTCTTCGACTCAATATAAGCTAACACTAAGCGAATTGAAAAAAATTAAAGAGCATTTCTCTGCTACAACAGATATGTTACAAATGGCTAATTTAAAATAGTATTTCAGCCAAAAAGGAATAAAGTACGGCCGGCTTAGAACAAAAGATGGTCATTACATTGGATCAAAATGGATCCATCGAAAAAAAGATTGGTCAAAAATTAATTATACTGTTATGGTATGTTTATTTATTTGAAATTTATATTTTAAATTTTCACTCATCATTAACTTAATTTTTATTAGATAAAAATAGAAGTAGATATTTATGCAAGCTATCCGAAACGACCAGCAGTATTCGAAGTCCAAGATTTCTATCCATTCTTGAGTATTATTTAGTTTGAGTTCGAACAGTCCAAACAATGCTAGCATACATTCAGTGGAACATCAGCTGTTGGTGAAGAGGTTGGCGTAAAAACCTTTAGCCGGTTGGATGCACATGAATTTATTGATGCATCTGCCATCAATCATTTATTGAGATAAAGAGGTTGATAGTGAATACATGTAAACAAAATTCGTATAATCAATCGAATTTGATTGATATCGTAAGATACATGCACACAAAATTCCCAGATTTTACATCTTGTCCCCATTTGGACATAACACGGATGAAAACTTGAACGATTTTTTTTCATAGGGATACTATTCTATCCAAAGTTACGTCGCCAGTCGATACATCGTCGGGAACTGGGAGATCATTGACAGTTGTAATGTTTAAGATTCATTTTTTGATGATAATATGGGCTAATTTCAATAAATAAACCAATATTTATACTTATTAGATATTATAAAAATTTTTCGAACATATTTCTTCAACTGAACACCCATATTTATACATTCCGATTTCTAAGAATTCGACAGCCTTTCTTATTCCTCCCAAGACTTTGCTAATGCAAAGTATCATTATTGAGGTTGTGCAGGGACCGGAAAAATGCTGATATATGCAGTTATTAGTTTTTGTTTAAGAGGCATTTTTCATAAATAAACGAAACGATAATTTTGTTCAAATGAAATAGGGATAATCATTCAATAATTATAAAAATTCCTTTTGATACCAATTTATTCCATTTTACTTCGCTTTGTTTCAAAACTCCGATATATATATATATATATTCGTGCACAAGAGTTTTCGAAAGATTTTCGAAATGGGAATATATAACAAAATTATGGATGATGGTAAGCAAAATCTTTGCCAAGAATTGTTATAATAACGATAATAATTCATATATATGTATATGATTAATAAATTCAATTTCGGAGTAAAACGAAATTTTTTCAACGGGATTTTTCCGTGTCCCTGGTGTTGTGACCCTTTACATACAATGTTTTGATGACTCATGCATCTTCTAATGTTAGTCTGAATACATGTACTTAGAGATGTATCGGTTCGGTTTGAATTTGGTTTGAAACCAGTTTTTGAGACCGGTTTCAGTCCGGTTTGTTCTGTTTGGTTTGGTTAAACGAGCCGAACCGAACCACCACATCACATATTAATTCATGTGATTTGCAATAATAATTCCGATTCCGGTTTTTCTTTGTTAAAAAGAGTGTCAATAAACGTAGTTAAAGATGGAAATGTTTATTTTGTGTTATGATAACTTTAATTCATATTTTGTGAAATAGTCATCCAATCTTTTTTTGTTCCCACACTGTACATACACATGTACATGTATTTGGATGAATTGGCGCATCATTCACATTGGCAGAAATCTCGGTGTTTTCCAAGAAGACTAAATGTATAAATATGGGTGTTCAGTTGAAGAAATACGTTCGAAAATCACTTATAGTATCTAATAAAGCTAATAAATATTTGTTTATTCACTGAAATTTGCCCATTTCACCACCAAAAAATGAATCTTAAACACTACATCTGCTTTCTTGCGTTCTTTGTCACTTTCCTCTTGACAATCAATGGTCTCCCAGTTCGCGACAAAGAACCGATTAGTAAACCATCCAAGGTTGGCGTAACTACGGATAGCGTAGTATGGGGGACGTAACTGAGTAATTTTCAACAAGTTGATATTCATGGAGAGACTTGGTGTAATTCGAAAATTTAAATAGGAAATTCTAAAAATAATTGTAATTAGTTTTAGAACAATTTATTTCAGACGTTTGAAAAGATAACATATAGTATATGCTAGTTTCCTTCAGATTTTATTCGAACTCATAAATTTTAGATAAACTTACGAATATAAATATCATATAATTCGTTCTTTATAAAATGCTTGTTCCTATCGTTATTATCCATACATGGCTGCTTTTCTATTGTACATGCTTATGACTATTCCTGCTTTCTGAAGAAGATTATTAGAACGTATTGAGACATCCGTCAAAAAGGATATTCTGTGTTCCAAGCATATCTTTTTTGTGTTCTTCAAGAGCGGGCGAAGTCTAAATACACCCATTAATGCACAAGTATTATTTAAAAAAAAATAGAATTAGCATATTACATATAATTACTATATCCATTATTTTTAAAAATAAGTAACGAGATCGTTATGTTAATACATAATCAACTCTCTAAGATGACTTGAACAACACGTATACAATAGTAGAAATTTGATTTATCGAGGAGCATTTTATATAAACTTTCCTGTCTTTCGTTTAATTCCAATGATCAATATCTGCATTGTCTTGAAGGTACCATACACACCCACCTACAATAAAAAATGGTAAAACATAGTAAGATACGGCATTTAATATATATACAAATTTTTAATTTTTATCAATAATTGTTCATTTTTGTATCAAGGTAATAACGATAACTTATAATAATAGTTTTATATATATTTTTTGGATTTTTTCTGAAAAATATGTGAAAATGTCGGTTTATCGTTATTATCTCTTATATATACCTATTTTATCTACTCATCAAACCTATCTGATGATGCTGATAATATCATTTACACATCACAATGATATTGTTAAAAAATCGAAATAGATGATACTCCAAGTAACGAGCCAGAGAATATGCCATTTGACTCAGCTTAAAATCAGAATAACACCTTTCATCCTCTGTTATCTTGTGGCGCAACGCCACCGTCCTACGGTCCAATAATCATCGCGGTTTATTCCGGTTTTTCTATAAATCATTAAATCCCTAAAATATAGGCCTTCAATTCGTTAACCACGAAAGAAATAAAAGCTGGAGCGCTGTTTCGATTTATTATTTATTTTCAAGCCACATATTACTTGTCTAAAGCTATTCTTATATAACAGTTTGGTCATTGACAGTTATTTAAATTATACATATTAATTTAGTACAGTTTCGCGGTCCCTAAATCACAAACTGTGAAATTAGCAAGAATCCTAGAATATCTATATAAAATAAAATTTAATGTAATTATAAAATATAAACCGCTGACTGTTCTAAAGGTCAATCCAAGGACTAGGAGCTAGTATAGAATTAGTATAATATTGATATTAAGTACATTTGGCATATAAGATTTCAGATATCCGCACAAATACTTTTTCTCCAACCGATAAAATTTGTAAAAATACCAAAAATAGATTATTTACTGATCTTTCTTGTTTAATTATAAATTTCACATGCCTATTTCATTTCAACTCTGGAAATAAAGAAATCAACACATCATGCAATCTTTCTTAACTTGTCCAAAATTTGAAAAAAATTACCTATATAAAAATGAACCACACACCTATCAGAAATTCTGCAATGCATTCTCTTATTATAAAATAATTCAAATAGAAAATCCACATCAAACATGAAGAATTTGCTTGAAGAAGCAAATATCAAGTGGGCCAAAGTCAGGAAATAAAATAATAACCAAATACTTACTATTATTACACGTTATTATATAACTCTAATTGATATGACACAATACAAATTTTAGATAATTGCAATTCCAGACATCAACAACATTTATATCTAGCTCATCACGAACATCTGAAGAATTGATCAGTATATCAATAATACAAGAAGATAACATATCTCCTAATACATTTACATAAGCAAGCAGTCATCAAGAAAAAAGAAGCCATGGAGAAAAAATTGCTAAATTTGTAATACTTCTCAATATAACTACTGATACTTCAATGAGATTGGATCTAGAAAATTGGATTAAACAAGTAACAATTATAATAACTATACAAAAATAATATCTCATCAATTTGAAATATCATGTAGCAGTACAAAAATGACTAAGAGAATAAAAGCAATAAATATTAGAATAGAATATTATAAAATAATATAACTCATCTGAATGACTCTTTTTTTTGCTCAAGAATCCGAATCTACTTGATTAATTGCATAAATGTATAGAATTTGGCTTTGTTAATAATTAACAAAGAAAAGAATAGATTAAATTAAGAGCTATATGATATCTTAAATAAGTAATAGAAGATAATTATCAATAATACCTGTTCAAATCTTATCTTCAAACTTATCTTATGCTATATCATTCTAATTATAATTAAATATATTGTTACTATTATTCTACTCTTATCCAAAACTCGCCTATTTCTAGAAATGAAATATCATTTCATATAGATAATTATTATTGTCTGGCATTTGTAAAAAGTACTAAATAATTTACTAAAGTATTTTCTGAAAAAGTAATTATCATTTTCAAGATGATAAAGCTAAAGTATCACTAAGAATTCTAATAGTTGAAAGAATATTTTTAACTATATAAAGTAAAAATTAATCAGTAAAAATTCCTGATTACAATTTTCCAGCATCATCAAAATATAAATTAATATCTTTAAGTTATTTGATAATTAATCCTATAGATATTAATAAGAAAATATAATCAGATTATTTAGATATATTTGTGTGATCTGTATTATGATTATTAATATCAATATTAACTTATATATATAATCTTTAAAGAATGCAAAATCTATCTAACTTCAAACTATTATTTATAAATAATAATAACAAATTACAATCAATTATTATTTTATTAATAAATGATAAATCTGATAAAAACTTATAATATTTAAAAAATATATAAGAATATTGTTAATATTTTATTGATAATGATTTAGATTATATAACTATTTATACTTATATCTCTGGATAATCAGCCTATAATTCTATTAAAAGAAATATAATTTTTTTATCTGAAAAGCTTGCTAGAAATTACTCTTTCTCATAATAAATATAAAAATTATTTGCAAAATAAAAAGATAATTAATAAAGAATTAGTACAAGAAAATTTTGCTTATTCTGATCATTATTTTTGTGAATTATGAAGATATAATTAATGAATATTCTATTATATAGAATATATTTCTGATAAGTCTCTATTTATACTTTCCATTTCATGAAATTGGATTAAAAAATATACTCAAATTTACTGATATTTATTAGATATTTGAAAATATAATAACTTGAACTATTATTAATCAAAATAATATGAAGAAGTTGCTCTTTTATTAATATTAAATAATGGATTTCTTTTACCAGTAACAAAAGATTTTAATAATTATTTTTTAATTCTAATTCATATTCTAAAGTATTTGAATATATTGAAAATTCCAAAGTTTGATCAGTATTATCTATTAATATTAGATGATTTATATTAATATTTGTGTTATACTATATATAATCATTATTTTCCAACATTAATATTTATAGCTCAACACAAAATTTTTTTCACAAATTATCTTCATTTAAAACCAACCAGAAAAAACATATGAAGATATTTCTACTCAATATTCATCTTGAAAAATAAATGATTATTTTAGAAATGCAATTTCTGATACTAAATAGAATATAGCATCTCTATTATTTTTCTATATTTTTTCTATTTTTTCTATATTTTTTTCTATAATTTTTTTAATAAAAAATAAAAAAATTGAATTCATATAAGTATAATATAATAGTTATAACAAGTTATGTGAGCGTGATTTCTAAGCCAACCCCTACCTCCCTATCATAATCACGTGATTTTGGACAATCCCTTAATCAAATTGTTAAAGGCAGAAGGCTCTGCCTTTATCTTACATGCTCCAATTAAATAAAATTAAAATTAACCTTTTATTTTGTAAACTGATTTCTTTTATTTTCAAACCTTGCACACAAGTAATGAATAACCTTTACTCAAAATAATCCTGTGATATTGTTGACCAAAACTAAGTCCAATCTTCAATTTTACGTGTTGTCGATTTTGGTTAGCTGAAACCGCCTGGGTCATTGCTCCTGAATTGAACCTTAATAAACGCGTTATTTTGTTATAGGTAATCAGAAACCTTCTCGAAACCCCTTGTTGTAGACTCTTTTGTTGCTAGTAATCAGAAACTCCCATTTCGCCCTATTAAAATAGAAAGAAAGATCGATTTGCGTACAAATCATCATAGGAAATCTTTAGAACAATAAAGAAACTATTTATTTGTAAAAAAATTCAGTCTTGCTCCTTTACTTTACCTTGCCGCACTTGTCTATTAAATCCATTAATTCCAGGAGGTGCGCAACAATATTGCTTGTCTCTCAGTCTTCTAAAGCTACCCTTGTCTACAGTTTGGCCATTAACAGTTATTTAAATTATGCATGTTGATTTAGTACAGTTTAGCGACCCCTAAATCACAAAGTGTGAAATTAGCAAGGATTTTACCATAAAGAATATCTATATAAAATAAAAATTTAATGAGAATTTAATGTAATAATAATATTAAAGAAAAATTATTATAAACGATATAAAATGCGAATTCAATAAAACAATCTTAAATATTATTATGATGAAGTAGGGAAAAATGTACGAAATGTGAAATCACTACGAATTTTTTAATGAAAATCAAAATCGTAATATAACCCAAAACTGCTAACTATCTTAAATCTGAGCTCTATTCTGGAGAAAGATGAGCTAAGATGTATACAGCTAAATTTTTTATGGCTGGTATCTCATCTAAATCAAAGTATTAAAAGTGACATGCAGTAATAAGGAATGTTCTTCAAAGTTATCCCAGCCTTGCCACTATTTTATATTTACAACTATTTGACAACGCAAAATATGAATAACACTGCAAATGTAAGTGCAAAATTGAGTGATGCTTTTACTGAATGTTTCCCTGAGATCGATAATATTCTCAAAGAACATTTCTCTGATCTAAATCGGGAAAAATAAAGTTATCGACAAGGTCAAAATTAAAAGAGTATAGATAAAATCTTTCGCAATATAATGATTTTATTTTTCATTACATTTTTCGTTTTATACTTGTTTGTTTTGAATATGTATGTTACTTTGCAATAATATTAATACTATACATGCAAAAAGAATGCTACAATAAATTCTTAATATTGTACTATATAATATTTATACACAAGAACTTTTTATTTAAAAGATTCGATATTTTGTAACATTATCATGCTCCCCTGTGTTGTTTGTCGTTAACAATGGATAATATTTAAATGTAGAGGAGGTATTGACTTCTCGAAGAAATAGATAAAAATCACCTGATATGTAAATATTCTTATTTTTTTTTATTAAGTTATCTTTTAACCTAAAACCCACTAGTGCAGTGTATACCTGTGGGCTAAAACAGAGAAAATTATGTAGAACATACATGAGAATAAAGCTAACGCAAATAACGCACGAACCTATTGTAGTTTTTCACCGATCGTCCGAGTGATCATACATTTTCATTAACGTTAAGATCTCGCATTCTTTTTTGGCATGACAATGCAATGGCTAAAATGAGATAAATAATGTAACTACTATTGGCAAGTTTTCTATTAACTGTATCACAATTAGATTTTTTCCGAAATACAGTTTTTTATTGACTCGATTTATCACCTAACTATAAAAAGAAATAACATAATATATGTACGGCGACAATCTTGTATGTGAAATTTAAATACATGTAGAATTTCAAATAAATGCCATTACATGTATCTTCGGAGCTTTTTTATTTTCGAGTCTATTAATGATTATAATGATTGTAATGATAATGACGATGTGCAGCTCACTATTAAAATGATAGGATTAGGAAATTTTTGAACGGGATAGTTTTTATGATTTAAAAGGTATTCTATAAATCGTGCGACTATTCCAATATTTGAATTTCATTTATGAAAAATAGTAGTATGAAGAGATTTTTGTTTTACACATGACGTATCGTTCGGTCCTACATTTTACATAAACTCCCGAAAGGGAGCACTAAAAATGCATCATTGTAAAAAGGAAAATTCATACAAAAACAAGTAGCATGTCATTTTTTAATAAATAAACATAACAAGAATGGATAATGACAAAGAAAAGTCGGATTTTAAAACTATTTGAATAGCTCAAACATAATTTTTTAAATAATTATTTGGTGCGTTTTTAACGAAAAAAGTTTCTTCAATGAGACTTTTTAATCTAGCCAATTTATCCACGCATAATGTCATAAAGCACAGATTGGGAAAAAATAACTCTTCAGTGTTCCTATGTTTGCTTTTGTGTTTATGTTCATGAAAACGGATAAATTTTCATCAAATATATATTTTTATATGAAGAAGGATCTTTCGGTCGTTTCGTGTCACTTTGCATAAAGCGTTGCCCCTTATTATTTCATCATTTTTTTTTAATACATAATTTTATTAATTTTCCGCTATTAAATAATAATCACTGATAAAAAAACTTCTCTCTTTAGTTACTTACCACCAGGGTAAAGATCTACCAGAGATATTCATCTATTTCTTGTCTCACGGATTCCAAAGTTAACTTCGAATTTAGATCATCGAGTGTGTCGTCATTAATTAGATTTTGATAGATGCGGACTAGGATGCATGCCTGCATTATTCGAAATATTAAATATCTTGTTTGAAAGAGATTATTAAATTAACAATTTTCTTTTTAATCAATCGTAAAAATCATAATGATGACGTATTCATGCATCTTTCTAAGCCGAGAAGGATGGCACCAACCTATATGCATATATTAATTCTGCATTACAAATTCTGATGCGGTTTATGCAGTATTATCGTTATGCAATTTACATAAATCATTATCCCTATGTACATGTTACGAAATTTAAACTTTTATACATGTGCGTTTATCAGGTGATAGCAAATCTTATTTTATGCGTATCTCGAATTAGACAAGTGATTTTAAGAAAGTAATAAAATTGGAAAAAAAGGAATATGATCAACTTTTCATCTCAATAATTCCATTCTATTGATTGATCATAATAAATACAAAATATAATTTCAGAATATTTTCTAAAGATTAAATAAAGATTTTAGCAATTTTAAAGCGCTAACGTTAAATTTTTTATTTAAGATGCGTAAGATAATGGGATATTGTGCATTATCTATTCTTTATTTATACAGTATCTTATGTAATTTGTGTCATAATGTGAAAATTACAGGCCCCGTTGCGGTGCAATATAATATTAATGATGGGGAAACAGCTAAAACGTTTAACCGATATTAAAAGAACAATCTACCTTGATGATAACTTCTTCAATGAGTTATGATTTTTACCTTTTATTTGAGGTATTGAAGTTTTTAATTTTAGTAATTCACGAAATGTGTAGAATAAAGATGATTTTCAAGACTAACCTTCTTTGATGATTGACTTTCATTTTTGGAGATAAAAGCTCGTCCAATCCAATGCAAAATTGATAAGAAATTTTTTCAACAGCCTTTTGCTTTGAATATCTTGTAGGTTTCCTTTCTTCAAGGACCAAATATCTATCATAAGGAATATGTGAATTGTCATAATCGTCAATGGAGGCATTTAGATTCATGCTGCTAGATTCTATTTTCGCTTCCAATTTGTGAGAAACGATTTGAGATCTTGGTGGAAACCATTCATCCAATGGTTCTTTAGAAATCTTGGATTTTTCGATTTCAACCTTTTTTTCAAGAAAGCTTAGGTTCGGCGGCGAAGTTTTGTCAGAACGAGATATGAGACCCATGTAGAATGAATATGGGGTTGTAGAATTGCTGACGTTGGATTGATAGAGATACATATTATAAAAAATAGCAGTGAATGCACGAAATTGAAACTTAATGTATTTTTAAACAAATAATTTGTTATCTTTTAATTTCTTTGTTTTGGAAGAAATGAGTATAAAAATAAACCAACTTGTTTGTCTATAAGTATGAGCAACTCAAGAAAAATTTAGTATTTACTTAACGTTGTATTTTAATTAATAGTATCAAATTCTAGAATTATTAGGAAGGATACTACTTTTATTTATATATCTTTTGAATTTATAAATATGCCGAAACGCGCGTTAATTACATACCGATACATGCTATTCTATTGGAGATATAAATAGCACATAACATCAAAATTTTCCATTCATCAATGAATAACTTGATTTATTTGTAATAATGAATGATCCATTAAAATCCTTGGAAATTAATTAAAATGTAATACAGCACTTAATGGTAAAGATAGGAAAAATTATAACGAAACGAGATACATTTAACAGATACTATAATAATTATAAAGAAATTTTCATCATCGTACGTTAATGAAAGTTTAAATAATAATATAAATAAGACAAAACTATAGTCTTCAAATCATTAAACTAAGTGATTACATGCATTTATACGTAGAAAGAAGGATAGGAAGCTAAAAATTTACCCGTATTGTCATAGAATACAACACCAATCGTATTTTTTGCCTCTTGTTCACCAAAACAGCTGGCGTCCGAGAAAAAAAGACTTTAATTCTATGAAGAATAGATAGATAGAATATGGGTAATTAAGTAACGATATATATATCTGAAATGGTTCGATCCTTATAGCAAAAGAATGTTTGTTATTTTAGTTTACTATTTTTTGTACATTCTTATTGATTAGGTAGAACCAGCCATTATGATTTTTTTTGTTTACTTACATTTCTTTTATAAGATGCATTAAACGATTCACAATGCATAATAAATTGAACTGTGCGTGATATCATAATACTCACGTCTTACTTTATTACTGCGGCTTTTTCATTGCATAATTTAGAAACCCTTCGGAGAATTTGTATGCAGTATTTAGTTATAATAAAATGGGACTTTATTATTCAACCGGACTTATTGGGGAGTATATGTATTTAACAAGATACATGTACATGAAAAAAATGTACATACATGTAGTCTATTACCCAATTTTTGTTTTGCTCCAAAATTGGTTTAATTTTAAGACACTCAAAAATTGTTCTATCTCCTCATGAACATTATAAACGCCGTTGCTAATCGTCGCACTTTTCTCTGGAATGGCTGTCGTTGTTGGTGCTGGTGAGGAGTTGAAGTAGATATACTAACATCGAAATCTGTTTTTATCACCAAGAAAAATATTGAATTAAGGAATGTGGTAGAACCTAAATGTTTGATATATTTAAAATCAATCTGAAATTCATTTTGATTGAATATAAAAATAAATACATTTTTTCATCTCATCAAGTTCTTTAGTTTCCGTTTATCTATTCTCAGAAGTTCTTTATTTTTTTCATATACATGTGTTTAGAATACTCTAAAGAAGTGTTGTACTGAAAATGTAAAAAATTCAGTTTCCGTTAAGCTTCATTATCTCTGTAGAGTCAATAAGGCGTCAAGTTCCTCAGCAGTTCTGGAATAGGATTCTAATATTTTTCAATAATAAATTTGTACCATCCGTTGAGATGTCTATCATGGCTTTGTTCATCAAATGGTTGTTTAACTATTTACAAACTAATAGACAACCATTCCAAAAATATGAACTTTCTAACTATACTTTATCTATTTAATTTAAATATCTTATCTAATTGTTCGGAGCAAAATATAGAACATTATATTTTTACAATTTAGTGTAGAAATTATGGTTAAATTCCATTTGATATGCTACATCGCATCAGATTAAAAGTCAATATAATCAAAGAGAAGAACATATTGATCATACTATTTCAATAATTTTGCTCTCAAATTATTATGATTTTCATTTTCTAATTTAAATTATTTATCGAATCTATAAATATAAGATACAAATACAAATTAAGTTACAATATTTCAGTTTTAGAAAATTTTAAGAGAATATATTAAATTATATCTTTTCTAAAATTCATCATTTATTAAAATAATTAAAGTTTGAGCAGTTCAAATTCAAAGACTAATGTGATAAATAATATAAAAGACAACTTAGTTCAAAATCAATAGCAAGATTAATTTATAATATAGCTTAGATCAGGATTTTGATCTTTTAAAAAGTCATTTATTCAGAATATTAATCTCTTGGTTTTAGAATTCATTTGACGAATGGCTTGGCAGTGAGTTAGTCAAGGTCATTTTCTCCTTAATGATAAAAAAGTTAATATTCCTAGTTATGAAGTTAAGCCAACCAGTGTATATAAATTTCATACCAGAAAGAATAATATTCCAAATCATAAAATCCTGAAAGTTTGAATTCTAAATGAATAATATTCTGAATTGCAAAATTTTGAAAGATTAAGATTAAAATTCTAAAATATTATTCTTTCAGGATATTGTTTATTCAAAATATTATTTATTCAGAATTTCAATTCTTTAGAATGTAATTCATTCAGAATTTTAAAGTTTTAAAATATTATTTATTTGAAATTTTATATTTTAAATATTATTTATTTGAAATTTTATATTTCAGATATTATTTATTTGAAATTTTAATCTTTTAACTTATATAATAATAATTAATATTCTGAATTATAAAATTCTAAAAATTTATAACTCAATATATAAAATATAATAACAAGCTTAAATTATAATAAAATAAAATTATTATTATATTTATGAAATATATTAAAATATACTTATCATTTATAAAATTAATAAGTTTAGCTATTAAAAAATCTTTTAAGATTATATTTAAAAAAATCTAGTACAGTAAAAAAGTATAATTTATATTAATAAAGTTTTTTATAGCAGATTTTTATAATAAAAAATTAATCAGTAAATTAAATTAAATAATTTATAAATAAGATAAATAAATTATAAAAAGATAATATTACAAATTATATTTATAAAGATAATTTTATTAGGAATATAGCTTATAATAAGTTTTGATAAATTATTTATAAAAATAAAGAAAATTATAATTATTCTAAAGATTTTCTAATATAAATATTTACAAGTATTATATCAATACAAGACAAAAATAAAAATAAATAAAAAGAAATTATAATTATGAAAATATAATAAAGAAGAAGATATCTTTAACTAAAATAATAAAAACTATAAATTATAGATTCATATGCTTATTGAATTCTTTAATAGTATTTTTTTAACTATTAAATAAATAAAAAGTATATATTAAAAATAATCAAAAGTTTTTATATATAGGAAAGCTTGTAAAATCTCATAAATTAAAATAAATATACTTGGCTTATTTTAAGTAAAGAGCATTTATTATTTATATTTTTAGGTAAGAAAAATATATAATAATTAAATATAAATTATTATAATAGAAGAAATAATTGAAAATAGTTTATCAAGATAAAAAAACTAAAAATAATTATAAGATAAGTATAATTCAAAAGTTTTTTAAGTAAAAAAGAATTATTACTATTCAAGTATATTTACTTTATATTTAAAAGCAGAGATATTTATATATTTTTAAAGTTATATAAATTCTATTTAAACTTTACTTTCAATTTATTAGTAACTATAGTATATATTTATAAATATAAAGTAAGAATCAAGTAATGAACTATAAATTAACAAATAAAAGTTAAAGATAGGATATATATATATATATATAAATTAAAAGATAATATAAATAATGAAATTAAAACTAAATAATAAATAATAAAATAGAATAAATATTCTATAAAAAAAAGATAATTAATAATAAATAAAAATAGAAGAAATTTATTTCAGATTTATATCTAAACTATTTCTAAAATATAATTAAGTTATAGTTAATTTTAAGTAAATTATATATCTACAGTTCTAAAGTATTACTAAAATAAAGTTAAATTATAGCTGAAGTATAATTAAAATTAATTAATATATTAATTAAATTACTCTAAATTATATATTTTCTATTAAGTAATTAATTGATCAAAAATCTTAATTTTCAAAAATTATAAAATTAAAAAAATTTATATTATTATAATAATATTTTATTTCTTTAAGATTAAATTTTAGTAAGACTAATTAAATTCTTTTAAAAATTTCTTTAATTTTTTTATTTTAATATAGTTAGATTATAATAAGTAATTTATTAAAATTATAAGCTTTTCTAAGTTTATATTTATCTAATAACTTATAATAATTTTGATTAAATTATAAGTTTATTTTATTAATAGTGTAATAATTTTTATTGGGTTATCTTCCTTTAGATCTCTTTTAGTTTAGATCTTTATTTTGCACTATCTGTATAACAGATTAGCTTTGTATTATAT